CGAGTCTCCGTTTTCTGTAGATTCTGCTTCTTTCTCATCAGTCTCCTTCTCCTCGCTCGAGCCATTCTCTTTGGTTTCCTTTGTATCCCCATTTTCAGATGCTTTCGAATCCTCGTCAATTTCCTCTTGTATTTCCTTTTCCTCTTCCACTACCTTCTTCTGAGGAGTAGTGACTTTTGTTTCCCTGAAAATCATAATGAAAATATAGTATTCTATCACATTAATATAATGTATTAAAAATTTGTAGTTCTCTCTGCTTTCTTTAAATTTTAATGTTTTTTTTCTATTTTTCGTACCTACTTCATTTCTATTTCTTATATCATTTTGTTTTATTAAGCATATTTTAATTTTAACATTTAAAAGAAGGCTATTTTTGAAATCATAATATAATAACGAAATTTATCTATCTATATACAATAGATTATGCATGTAATTAAATTTTTTGTTTTCGAATATTGACTATGGAAATATTCAATCCACAATCAGGATAAGGACTTCATAGAATAATGAAATGATTATTAAAAACATCTTTTTTATTTAAATTATGCGACTGCAATGATTATAATTTATCATCTATATTGATACAATACATAATAAATGATTACATAAGCAAAAATTCATAACAATTAAGTTATTGATAAGCAAGTTAATTCAAACGTACATAGTAAGACCAAAGAAAGTGATATCGTTTTAGTAATATTAATGTCAAGAGCTATAACGGAACCGCGATAAAAACTACGAATTCGTGCGATTATACATTTCCCGGCAAGCCGTTGTTGGCGCGTTCCGACTTCGGTATTTGCTGCCGTTTCACATTGCTGACTAGCAACAAGGACGACGCGACGAACAGAGAGAAATAGAGATAGGACGCCGCCAACAGTGGCGGCATCTAGCGAGTTTGATATTATATCGTCCCCGCAACACCGCCCTTCTCCCCTCAGTCTCCATGGGTCACCCCTTCACGTCGTCGACCGCCACATCGCAATTACTACCACCATCGCGATGCTCGCCACGATCAACCACACTGACGAGGCTTTAGCGTGGTGAATTGTTGAACGCTCGCGGTCGTAAACGCGGCGTGTAATACGTAACGCCGCGATACACACGCGTCCTCTTACACGCTTTCGACATCGTATCTCACGCGTGCAAGGGGAATGCGAAGGATATGCCGTTATACTCGTCTTGAGAGCGACGGGGGATCGGAACCGGTATAAATTGAAAAACCGATCGATGGATAAATATAGACGTCTCTCCCTCGCACGTCTATCAGGAGTATCAGGCTTAAGTCTTGCTGGAGATTATACCGGTTTTACGAAGGATTCTCGATGGTGAAATCGCCGTTATCATCATCATCGTTGGCTGTCTAATCGACGCGAGCCGACAGATCGATACACGTCGTCGACCGTTTTCGAGCTGATGCGCGAGACGAAGGGCCGAACGATTTCTCTTGAGGAGAGCGAGGGAGAAAGTCACGTGAGAAGAGAGTTGGGAAAGAATCGTCCTCGCAATGTATTCGTTCTGTCTTTCTCGAGCGTGGCGAGGGTGGTTCCCGCGAAAAACGACGCGTGCGTTGCATGCGCGCGCGCGCGTGTGTGTGTGTGTGTGTGTGTGTGTGTACAATGTATACACGCACGCGCGCGCATCACGCACATCTACATAGACGACGTAAACAAACGAGTGAAGTGGTTGGAGCGGAGCGCGAGGGACAAAAGGAACACGAGGCCGCCACAGCCGCCGCCATCACCATCGCCGCCGATCGGCGGCAGCGATGCGCTTGTCTTCGATCGTGCGCGGGCGGACGGTCGAACAGAGGGGCACGAGGAGTAGAAAGGAGAAACAGAGAGGATCCGAAACGATGCCCGCCATAAAATCCGCCTGCAAGTAGAGCACGCGTTGGGTCGCGTCGCGCGCGCGGCAAGGGCAGGTAATTTCCAGCGATCGTTAGGCGTACCGCGAATCGGCCTGAGAGTATTGTCGCGAGCGCGAGATAGATAAAGAGAGGGGCATCCTCGCTCGCTTATTCGTTCTTTTCCCCTTCCCCCTTCCCGGCGCGCACGTCCCCCCCTTCCTCTCTCCTCGTGCTCGACAATCTTTCTCGTTGTCGTTGTCGTCTTTGCGATAATTCGAAAGCGATCGAACAAGGGCGATGAAAAAACGACAACGACGACATCGACGTCGGCGACGAGAATGATCGACGAGAGGACGCAGGGAATAATCGGCGAGAACGTTAACGACTTGGCGCGCAACGAAAGGAGGGAACCGACGCCGTACGCGCGATTTTTCTTCCGTCGAATCGATATCCACCGTTTGCCGCGTATTTACGCACCGGCAGACGCATATATATTACTTACTTGACCTCCGTGTCCGCCATATCGATCGATTTTGATCGTAATCCACACACGTTCCCGCACACGAACTCGTGAAAGCACACCTCAACCGACACGGCGGTTACGCGTCTTCTACGCACCGGTAAGCACACGTCGGAGATTCCGGTAACACCGCTGCCGCGTACCGACGCGCAAATGGCAGAGGGAAACGCGCACTGATTCGCTCGAGACTCGAGCGACTCCGGCCCGGCCGGCGCGGCGGGCCGGCGGCCTTCAAACGCTTTTCTTTCCCGCTCGTTTACAGATGGCGCTCCACTCGCCGTCAACGATACACGCGCGCGCGCCGTGCACGAGTTTCTACAAGGAGTATTAGAGGAAAACGAGCTATCATTGAATGAATAACGGGCAACGAAATATTAGAAACTGGAAAGGTAATAATTTAATGCTCATGACACGCGATGTCGTCGCATCGTTATGTAATGTCAAAAAAAATATGTAAAGTAAGATTTAATGCTTATGACATACAATGTCGCATCAATACATTTTTATTAAATATTTTATATCTAATAGAGTAGAATTTACGTGATAAAAAAAGGGAATAAAATATATAATATCTATCTATTTGCTGTATAATTTTTAAATATAATTATTAATTTAAAAAAGCAAATACGATTTTAATTTGAATATTTGAATACTTAATAATATAATCACATTTAAATAATGAATCATTAATGTAATGTCCATTTGTTCTATAATTTGCCAAGTATAATTTTTAATTATTTTTAATGAGTAGAAAATTAATTTCTTTTCTATCTATAAAGATAAAAAATGTCAACGATGTAATAAGATGTATTGTTCCACATTCACAATATCATAAATTAAATCAACTTGTAAATGAAGGTATATCGATCCCACTTTTCATTCTTACACATCAATACGTTTATTGTGGATAAACCGTTATATTTATTCTTTGTTGCTCATGTCTTATTCAGTGTGCCTCGGTCTTTACCGCCACATATTTTCTCTCTCGTATACAATATTATCTGCAAAACTATCATTATTCGCATCAGGCATGCCAATCTGTTAACGCAGGCATTTTTGGAATATATCCTGAGAATTATTCTGAGATATCTCCGGTTCTCAAACGCTATTGCAATCGGCGGAGGTGAGTAGAGTCAGTTAGGTTTCCAAAATACATTAGACATCGCGGAGAAAGATCGCTTTCGCGAAAGCATCGATGGAAACGCGTTCAATTGCTACCCACGCCAACGAAAGCGATCGAAAGCATGCGAAGAAAAATAAGAGGAATACGAACATCGCAAATGCGGCCATTCGATTATTCGCGGCACGAAGCTCGGGCGATGGTAGCGACATCATCTCGATGTCTCGACGATGTCCCCACTTTCTTTCTTGCCCCTCTTCCTCCACTCTAAACGGCCTACTCTTCCCACTTTGTGGCTCGTCCAATTAGATCCCAGCTTACGTCGAAAAATACGCGCGCTTCCGGCCGCGCATCAGCCGGTATTTATTTTACGCAAACGGATCGTGTTTCGCCTCGTGCGAAAACATCCGACTTTACACATTGAGAATGACTCGTCGATATCGATTAGGTCATGACTCGTGGTTCGCTCCGGTCGACGAGGGTCGCCACGTCCCCGATGATCGTGTATACGTCCGTATTCTTAGGAAAGTTCTAGAAGTTTCGCGGCATGGCAGCACTTCCGGTGTACGGGAAAGGTGCTCTGACGAGCGGCGCATCGCTGCTCATCGCCTTCGCGTCCATGTTACAGGTTGCTTTTCAAGTACTTGATAAAACGCAAGATTTCCTCTCGTGGCAACACGACGCTGAGACATAATGTCGACGCCGCTCGCCGGAGAAATCGGTTGTCCTCTCGAGCGGACCGATCTCTTTTTAGAAACAGGTTCACGTTATCCCTAGACTTCCGCTTTCTTTAATAAGTAATAAGTATAAAGATAATGTGAAGTCGAAAACATAAAGCGATCGACATAGTTTATGTTTCGATTTTGGATTGGACTTTATATTGTTTATATTGTTTATATTATATCTGACAAGTACCTATCTCATACGTATTGAGGAGAAAATCATCACGAAGAAATATATATGTGTATATAAGTATTTCTCTAGAGATTGACATTAAATTCAAGACGAGGCTGTGCTCGAAAATTCATTGCCAATGCTGAAAATCTACAATTTACGTTGCGCGTGATATATATTTTCAACACAGTGAATTTTGGAACACAGTAGTCATTTGGTTGTTGCAATAGTCGTGCTTTTATGAAAGCGAAACTGCATTAGATCACTAATTTCATAACTCAATATTTCATAACTCTTTATGATAAATGCCGAGCAACAAAATCTTTATTCAATTTTATTTTAATTTTTGTAAAAAACGTAATATGAAAAAAGCTTTCCAAGCTAAGTAACAGAGGTTAACATCAAAATAATATTAAAATGAATCGTGATTGATCGAAAAGTGACTTTTAATAATCATTTCGACGATTTGAATGTCATCTTAAACTTTTGTTTTGTTTCAAGAGTTTCAGTTGTTTTGTTTTAGAGAATAAACATATAAAAAATATTTCAAAAATATATCTTTCCAATAAACATCCTTTGAGAGGGTCAAAATAATTTATTACTTAATCGTTGTCGCGCGAGCGCGAGCGCAAGTTTTTGGCCGTGCCACGCTTGCGAAGCGTGCCGTTCCGTTCGTTCCGTAAATATATTTTTTGTTCTGGCACACGTGCTGGCAGTCCACGTAAGCACGAAGATAATCGGAGCCGAGTAGCAGCTGCCGTGCGCAGGTGAGGCGAGGTAGCCAGATGCCTCCTTCTGAGCATTTCTCGATGAAATCGACTTCGCTCTGGATTTACCTCCGCGTTCGGATCCGCACGGAGTTTTCGACAGAACTTTCACAGGAAAAGCAACATGCGACATAACGCGTGCGCCGTAGCGAGAGGGGAATTCTCTCTCTCTCTCTCTCTCTCTCTCTCCTTCTTTTCACTCTTTCTCTCTCGCTCTCTTTCGCGTCCGCGCGCGTTCTCTCTTTTTCTCTTTGTATTTCCCTGTCTTTGTTCCTTCCTTTTTTTGTTGCTCTCTCTCTCTCTCTCTCTCTCTCTCCCCCCTCCCCTCATCCTGTCTTTTTTTCGCTCTTCTTCACGTCCGTGTGCTCTCTCTTCCTCTCTTTGGCTGTCTCCCACGCGCTTCCGTCGAGGATGAAATTCGCGGTGGTTGCGGCTTGTCCCCCTTTTTCCTTTCGGGCGTTCTTTATGTAAATGGCCGTCGCAATAAATTAACAATATTTGCTTAGTTGATTATAATGAGAATTATATTCGCCTTGTCGATACGACCGCTTCAACTACGGTAGTCGGCACTCGCACGAAACTAGGTGCCCGATAAGAGTACCAAGGCCCGTTCTCATCAGTACGGTGTCGGCGGCGGACGCGCCTGCCCTGACCGCGATCTATTCCGACGACAGTAACCTATATTCGCCTGTGGCAACACTTTTGCCGTCACTGTGTCGAGACTGCTAAAGATAGCGGCGCGCATCTAAATTTTCATTTCGCTGGACTGAATTCCGCCTCGCACCGGTGTCGCTCTTATTAAGGTGCACTTCACTATGCACTTTCGGGTCTAGGTTTCCAAGACGCGGAAACTCGCGCTTATTATGTCCTCACTGCAAGAGAGATAGATAGCTTGATTTATTTATGCGCTTTAGGATGAGATCTTTTCAAGCACTGAGAACTCGATGCGAAAGTTGTGATGTATTTATACATATATATATTTTCGATTTTTATAGGGTTAATAAAATAAAATATAATATAAGTAGATAATGTAAATTAAATTGAAATAATTAGATATAATTAGAGAGAGAGAAAGAGAGAGAGAGAGAGAGAGAGAGAGAGAGAGAGAGAGAGAAAGCGTTTATGAATATTCTAGGGCAAGCTTTAAGAGCATAAGCATAACTATTGAACAGTAAAAAAGATATTACAAACAAAAATAATAATAACAGGGAGAGAGAAAGAGAAAAAGAGAGTGAGAGGGGGCTCAAAATTAGAAATGGAAATATACCGGCGGGGATCGACATGTATTTCCAGTGGGGACCTACATACGAATACGCTTATTAATAGCCACGAATAAATACCGTTTCAAGGATACGCGCAGAATATTGCGTTTTCACGATCGCGATCTATGCAAAGTCCGTGTGAAAGCGTGCGCGAGGCGTAAAGAAAGCCATTAAATAAATTTGCATAATGAAGCGGTACATTAAGTCTCTCGAGGGCAAGTATATAGTCTCGATTTAAAAAGACATTCCGTCTTTAGATATTATATTGTAAGTACTTAGATTATACACATCGAAATGACGAGAGAGAGAGAGAGAGAGAGAGAGAGAAAGAGAGAGAGAGAGAGAGAGAGAGAGAGAGAGAGAGAGAGAGAGAGAGAGAGAGATTATCGATTATGTGGTTGAGACGGTTATAAGTAGTGGAAAACGCTATGCGATTCATTTGTATAATAGAATTCGAAGTAACGAGTCGTTAAGAGAAGATCCCACACATCTCTTTATTGAATAATGTATATGCGATATCGTTTGAGAACTTAAGACTTGATCTCCTCGATTGTGCTCGCGAAAATTAGATGAAAGTTCGAAGAATGCTGTGAGCCCATCTTTTCTCGGTGAGATGTTCTATCTAAGGAAAACATGCTTCCCTTCGACAAATTGGCTCGCCGCTTCGGGTCATGGAATCAATAGAGAGCTCGTGGACGCGCGCATCTCGTAGGGTAGAATCAGACCAAGCTTAACCCTAAACAAGAGTACAAGCGGATTCCCACTAGTCCTTTGTGTATCACCGACGATATTGGAACACGTAAACAAGAGTGGTATACATGCAAATTGTGTAGATCATCTCCGCGATTCTGGGCACGTGGCATGAAACACAAACAAAACGCAATCAAATCAGAATTTAGATAAAGTAATTTCGATTTTACAATAAATGCTTATACCGCCTTACTTTTTGCCATCAGTAATTATACGAAATTGCTGCGCAGAAAAAAGTATTAACAATTTTTTAGTTAAAGTATATTTATTTTAAAGTATATTTCTTTGCAGCATTTTAAGATGTTTATTAGCATTATTATTAAATTGATCAATATTTATAATATTTTTTCCAGCTTCAATTTATGATATTGACTTCCAAATCCGACAAATCGAGT